AGGAAAACTCAGAAAAAAGAACAAAGAAAAATGAAGAGACCCTGAGAGTTATGTGGGATACAATCAAAAGCAAAAATTTGTGAGTGATTGGAGTTCCAGAACAGGGAGAGAAAACAGAAAACACAGAGAGGATCATTGAACAACTGCTGACAGAAAACTTCCCCAATATCACAAAAGATGAAAAGCTGGCCATCCAAGAAGCTCAATGAACCCCATATAGAAGACACCCCAAAAGAAAATCACCAAGTCATATCATAATCACACTCACCAAAACCAAAGACAAAGAATTCTGAGAGCAGCTCATGAAAAACAAGAAGTCACATACAGAGGAGAAACAATAAGACTAAGTTCAGATTATTCGGCAGAAACCATGCAGGCCAGAAGTCAATGGGATGACATATATAAAACCTTGAGAGAAAAAAATTGCCAGCCAAGAATAATATGTCCTGCAAAGCTCTCGTTCAAATATGACGGTGAAATTAGGACATTTCCAGATAAACAGAAATTAAGGGAATATGTAAAAACCAAATCAAACTTACAAGAATTATTACAGGGAGTTCTTCGATCTGAGAACAAACAATTTCAGCTCAGAACAATTTCAGGCAGAATCTAGGATGCCGGATCATACCAGCCAGACACCAATCTAGGAAATGAACTCTCAAGGACTATCCAAAACCAAAAGAAATACAACAAGGATTCAGGGCAGTTAATCAGTAAATGACAACAACATCAGAACAATAAAAGAGGGAATAAACAGTGTAGGTATAGAACCTTCGAATGGAGAAGAAGGCAAGGCAACCAAGTAATAATAGACTGCTTCAAACTTAGAAAGATAAGGGTAAATTTCATGGTAACCAAAAAGAAAGTTAATAAACATATTCATAAAAGTAAAAAGGAAAAACATAAAGTCTCAGCAAAAACAAAATCTACAAAAACAAAAGAAATGAAAAAAAAAATCCACAAACAAAAGTAACTCAGCACAGGAGAGTAAGAAGAACAAAGAAAACCTCAGCACCACAAAAAAAAAGCACTACAAAATGACAGCAACAAACTCACATCTATCAATAATTACACTGAATGTAAATGGACTCAATGCACCCATA